ACTTGCGCGAACCGTTTTATATTTTCTTACAAAACTTTAACACAGCACCTTTTTTTTTTTTTTTTTTTTTTTTCACACTTCAAAACTCGCGTCCACTTGAACTTTCTCGGCACCGTAACTTTCTTCTGACTCACTTCAGCCTCTTTCAGTGCCGTTTTATTGCACTTCGGCTGGCCGCAGTGGTCACTCATTTCTCATGTTCTTACTCAACTTGAAGTTGTCCTACCACACACACATACACATAACACACACAACACACACAAACACGCACACGCAAACGCCCGCTTAGAACTGCTTTATCGAACCGCCGGGCTAGCGAAGTTTCACCCCTTTAGTGTTGTATGGTGTGTAAAAGAATCATCGAAATTATAGCTAGCTGCTTTCACATCCGGTGGATACGCTCACATACTAACACAGCCACACTAGGTGCAAGGCTTCGTTACATTAGTTAATATAGATATCAAATTAAAGAGGTTTAAGAAAAAAGACTTTTGGAAATATTTTTGAGGAGCGTTGCCACCTATTTGCAAATTTTAACTCAGTTAAATTGATAAAACAAATTAAATATTGCGATGTGGGCAGCAAACTAAAGAGCTTTTAAAAGACCTACAGTAGAAAATATGTTTGAGGAGGGTTGCCACCTGTTTGAAAATTTTACTCAATTAAATTCGGAAAATAAATGAAATGTTATAATATCGGTACCAAACTAAAGGCATTTGAGTAATCTTAATCTAGGAATCTGTATCTATCTATCTATATATATAAAAATGTTGTGTTCGTATGTCACGGTCGTCAAAACTCGAGAACGGCTGAACCGATCTAAATATATTGTTTTTGTATTGTTCAGTATAATACCAGGATCAATGATAAAATAAATGAATGATTACAGTATGGGTATCAAATTAAAGATAACTGTTGGAAATATGTCGAAAACTTTAACTCAGTCAAATAGATAAGATAAATGAAATATTACAATATGGGTATCAAATTAAAGAAGTTTAAGAAAGATAACTCTTGGAAATATTTTTGAGAAGGGTTGCCACCTATTTTAAAATTTAACTAAATTACATTGATGAAATAAATTAAATATTACAATATGGAGTTTAAGAGGTTTAAGAAAGACAACTGTTGAAATACTTTTGAGGAGGGTTGCCACCTATTTTAAAATTTTAACTCAGTTAAATTGATAAAGTAAATGAAATATTGCTATGTGGATATGAAACTAAAGAGTTTTAAGAAAGCTTACAGTCGAAAATATTTGAAAGGAGGGTTGCCACCTGTTGAAAAGTTTAGCGCAATTGATAAACTAAATGACATATTACAATATAGATATTAAATTTTAATTGGTTTAAGAAATATTTTTGAGTAGAATTGCCACCTCATTGAAAATTTTAACTCAGTGAAATTGATAAAATAAATGAAATACCTCAATTTGGGTATCAAACCTTAGATTTTAAAGAAGACTTACAGCCAAAAATATGTTTGAGCAGGGTTGCCACCTGTTTGAAAATGTAACTCAATTTAATTGATATCGGTATCAAATTAAAGAGGTGTAAGAAAGAAGAATTTTGGAAATACTTTTGAGGAGGGTTACCACCTATTCGAAAACTTTGACTCAGTTAAATTGATTAAACAAATGAAATATTGCAATTTTGGGTCGAAAATATGTTTGAGGAGGGTGGCCACCTTATTGAAAATTTAACTCAATTAAATTGGTAAAATAAAAGAAATGTTACAATATCGGTTCAAAACTAAAGGAATTTGAGAAATATTTTCAGTAGGAGTATGCCCTATCTAAAAGTAAAGACTGCAAATATTGGAACTAAATGAAATATTACATAATTGGTTCTAAACGCAAATTGTTAGGGAAAGCTTCACTAGATAACTTTTTTTTTAATGTTTCCACTTATCCAGAAGCTGAACAATTTAAACGAAGAAAGAATTTACAAAATCGTATCAAACCAAGTGATCATATTATCAACGAAGGGTTGCTATACAAATTTCGCAATGGAAAAAATATATAAAAAACTACTGATACAAGTGAAAAAATAATAAAAACCGTAACGAAAAGATGAAAGTATCCCATGAAAGCTGTTTAAAAAGTCCTCAATGGAAACTTAAAATTGTAGTCACCATTCCCTAACACTATAAAACTATTAACTTTTAATCACAAATAATTTCATTTGGCGCCATATATTGCGAGTAGAAAAATGTGCCTGCTTGAGCTTTGAGTTTTTCCAACTTTAAATTATCAAGAATCTACCTTAGTTTAATACACATCTACATAAAAATATCCACTTTTTCCAGAATTTTTTGTTTGCTAAATTAGATGAGCTGCTTCGCATTTTTATGATCGCATGATGCAAATATTAAGATAATAAGAGCTGCAGAACTGAACCACTCACGAACAATTTTTTACAAGGGCGTGTAAATTCTGGCGTATGCCGTTGACATCGACATTATCGGTAATAAAAACCTCGAACTCTATCCTGCCTTTTCCAAGTTGGATAACGAAGCAAAGTGATTGGGTCTGGTGATCGATCAACGAGGACAATACGAAGTATCTCCTGTCATCAAACAAAGAGTCAGAGCATTCGCGCCTTGGCACCCACGTCACTTTTGCCAGTTGTAATTCCGAGAAATTAGACAATTTTGTTTAGTTAGGAACCAGCATAACAACCATAATAATGTCGGCATCGAAATCCAACGCAGAACTACTCTAGCGAGCANCGAAAACTTTAACTCAGTCAAATAGATAAGATAAATGAAATATTACAATATGGGTATCAAATTAAAGAAGTTTAAGAAAGATAACTCTTGGAAATATTTTTGAGAAGGGTTGCCACCTATTTTAAAATTTAACTAAATTACATTGATGNATAAAAATATCCACTTTTTCCAGAATTTTTTGTTTGCTAAATTAGATGAGCTGCTTCGCATTTTTATGATCGCATGATGCAAATATTAAGATAATAAGAGCTGCAGAACTGAACCACTCACGAACAATTTTTTACAAGGGCGTGTAAATTCTGGCGTATGCCGTTGACATCGACATTATCGGTAATAAAAACCTCGAACTCCGTCCTGCCTTTTCCAAGTTGGATAACGAAGCAAAGTGATTGGGTCTGGTGATCAACGAGTACAAGACGAAGTAGCTCCTGTCATCAAACAAAGAGTCAGAGCATTCGCGCCTTGGCACCCACGTCACTTTTGCCAGTTGTAATTTCGAGAAATTAGACANCCTATAAGTCACTCATCTTGCCTGTGCTGGTATATAACGCGGACATCATCTGACGGGGCGACTCTTGGAGTATTCGAGAGAACAATCTTACGGAAGATTTACAGGCCCCTACGCGTTGGCGACGGTGTGTAACGCAGACGATGGAACGATGAGTTTTATGAGATTTACAGCAGCTCCGCTGGCTTGACCATGTCGTTCGAATGGGAACCGACGTTCCAGGTCTAAAAGTATTCGACTCGCAATCCGCTGGTGGTAGCAGAGGAAGAGGGAGGCGCCCACTGAAATGGAGGGACCAAGTGGATATGGACTTGACTTCACGTGGCATTTCCGATTGGCGTAAGTTGGCACAGGGAGAAACGACTGGCGTGCTTTGTCGAACTCGGCCGAAATCGCTTATGCGGTTACAGCGCCAAATAAGCAGATGCAAATGATAAATGACGCAGTTGTGGGAACATCTTCTTGGATGTGCAAAAGAACTAGGAAAACATTCCTTATAAGATTGTGGCAACGGTTAGATGAAAAAATTACGTAGCCGAAGCTCTCGGTTCGTCTGGAATATCTGCGACATAATTGCCAGGTAGAAGCACTTCTCATTTAGCTTATACAAATCATCGAAACTCCCACGTGCAATATTTCAACAACATCCGGTACGGGAGAATTACTTATTACAAAAATGTAAACTCATTGTTTGGGATGAGTGCACTATGGCACATAAAAATCGCTTGAGGAGAACAGATCGAAAGAATGTTTCCGGATATTCAAGTTAATTATAGAAATCACGATTAGCTCAGTGAAGGAGGTATTCTTTGCGCGAAGAATAAGGATGTCTATCAACTCAATAATGTTTTTCAATCCAACATTCAAAGTGTTGAAATAACAAAAATGTACGTCGATAAACACCGTTGTGGCAGCAAATGAAGCAGTTAATTATCAAACGGAATTTTTGAACTCGATTGATCTTCCAGAGGTTACCCCTTATACTGAAATTGAAAAAAGGTGTGGCAATTATCATGTTGCGGAATATTAATGAGCCAAAACTCTGCATCGGCAGGCGACTCGCAGTTAAGAAATTGATGAAGAACGTAGTGGAAGCAAAGATTTTATCGTGGCCTTTCAAAGGTGAAGACGTCTTCATCCCTCGAATTCGCTGCAACCGAGGACCGACTGTGGGACCTGCAGGCTTATAGAACGCAGTCCTCACCACTCGGCTACCGCGGATTAAGTAGTTGGCATTTGCTTCCTCGGGGAGCGTATAACACAAAGAAAATGCAAAACTAGCATGGACATCCACCTTGTCGTCGGTAATGTAGTCACCGTATTAATTCAAATAAGTTCTTATTCAATTTTAATTGGATTCCTATCTGAATTTGTATGGTGACTGCATTACCGATGAAAAGGTATATGTCCATGACAGTTTTGCACTTTCTCTGTATTCTACGCTCTCTGAGTTTTGGTCATCGAATATTCCCTTGATCCGAGTTAAGTTTGGGAATCAAGCCTAGGACTTAATCCGTATCAACTGCAGTTAATTATCGAGATAATTACGAATTAACGAGTTGATCCCGAGCAACGCTGCCACCTGTCTACGCTTTTAGATAACTACTTTTGGCGGTAGATAAATTCTTACAATAACCATATTGAATTTGACTGACCGGACTCTTCGCATTTTTTCATAATTCTACACCTTTAGAAAAAATTGAACGTACGATAATTTCGCGCAAAGGGGTTGATATAAGGAACGCATACTATTTTTACTTACACGCAATTCCTGGCCGCAACGTCCTTATGTATTACACCGTGATTGTGCAGGTGTGCCATAGCCATTGCGAGTTGCGACGACATGAGAACGGTCTGGATGGTGGTGACATTCCGCGCATATGCCGGCTCTTGCAAGAACAACTTAAGGTTTCGTGTATTATTTTCCGCCGGGTAGAGCACAAATGGTGTGGTGAAATCTTCAATACTGACTCCCAATATGGAGAGTACGTTAGGGTGGGCCGCGTCGTACAGCATCATACCTTCTTGTAGCAGCAGTGAAACTTGTATTTGACTAGCATGTTGGGCGACCGTTTTGACCATCACCTCTTGGCAGTCGTTGTAAGTGCCTTTATAAATGCGACCGTATGTGCCCTCCTGAACCAGACTCGACAGACGGACGCGGCACTTTTGGACTGTAAGTTCGTTGAGGCGTCGATTGAACTCCTCGGGGTCATGCTCGTACTCTCTAAATGGTCGCGTGAGAGTCGCATAAGTTGGCGCAATCACTGATGGACACACGTAGATGGAGTTATGTGCGGTTGATGATATGGTCGGCAAACGTTGAAAACTGGATGTCTTTATGAGATGTACACCATGGCTTTGGCGCTTCGTAGGGCCCTTGGCGCAATAGGCGATAATGAGAAGTGTGGTCACCAGCAACAGGGCTAAGATCCCACCCACAATAAGTGTTGTGACTCCACTAGACGGTGGTGCCAGAGTCTCTTTCAGCATTGGATCGAAGTCATGCAGCACAGTGCCTATTCCACTCAACCGCCCACCATCCAACAAATTTTCATCTATTGTATGCTGCCCGTCGCTACTGCTCACATGCCCACTCACACTATCCTCGCCCACCTTAACGATTTCCGTTTCATGTGCGGCACTACCGACGGTAGCGTCTTTGCGAATACCTTCACCCGGTTGGTTAATGTGCATATTGATGCTGCTGGCGCTACCACCTTTACTGCTACTGTTGCCACTGCCATGGCGGCCCTCATCCTGTGGCCCGGCAAGGCAAATTTTTTTCCTTCTGAACATCAGATCAGTGACATTGTTCGTCTTTCTGTCCAGTATTATTTCGATGGCAATGGTGACCTCAACTTCAGCGTCGCGCGTACCAGAACACTTTAGGCTGACAGCGAATGTCTGTGGCTCCAGCGGAATTTCACCGATTCGCGAAATATTCAACATTGGACGCGGCAGCACGAACGGCTCTGATGTAATAATGTTGACACTGTATGGGAGCGGATGGTGGGCTAGACCTTGCCACGTGAACGAGATCTCGTTGACGTTCGCCGGCACGGGGACGGCAAAGTTGATCGCATAATCGTTGACTTGGCCATCGCGCACATAGTACAGCTCAGCTGAGACACCTACAAGAGAGAAGATAACGTCCGTCATTAAAATGTCCCGACAAATTCCAGTGAAGTTCAAAGTAGAGAGCATAAAATAAAAGGCTGAAAGAGAAAACAAAAATTGTGAATGGAGTACGCGACTTAACACGCGGGTTTATGGTCGCTGCAATCTAAAGGAAGGAAACCCTGCAGCAAATTTGGCAAAGCGCTAGTTCCGCCCTACAAATTTCAGAACTGTCTTTGAACTACTACAAAAGGTATGCAGAGCTGGACGGTTGGAACTCATGTGGTACTAGTTGCGCTGTCATCCCTGGTCATGTGAAAGCTGACAATACTATATTTTTTCGATTTTCCTAGACCAGTGCCCGCCAAAAAGAGAAAAGTCTAAAAATGAGAATGTATTAGTTATGAAACAAAAAATGAGAAAGTGTTGGTGGTAATGCACGGAAAAAAATTTCTGTGTTGTATTACTTATTATAAAAACTTTGGTATGTTTTTTTGCCATTTTTTTCGTTGTGCGTTATTTTTTAGATCTAAACAACATAGAAACATATAATCAAAGTTAACGGCCCTAAGAAAGGAAAAAGTTGGTAAAATTTTGTATGTATTGTACAAAAGTATTATTTTTTTATAATTTAAGTATGGATTTCTGAGCAAAAAAGATAACGTGCTTCGAGCACTCAGAATATCAAAAGAAAATTTCGTTGATTTCAAGTAGAAATAAAATAAAAATATATATATCTAATATATATTTATTTTAAAATTAGGTAAAACTTGACATTTAAGAACAATTTAAAATAACGATTAAACCAAAAGATAAATAACAAAACATATTGTATGTTTTAATTGAGGACTAGTCTGGTATTAAAAAAAAATACATAATTCACAAAGTTCTTTTAATATGAAGAAAAAGCACGACTTGGGACCATATAGGTACATACCTATTTCTAGGGGTGTATGTTCGAAAAATTGTGTTTAAAATTTTTGAATGAATATTCATTCATTCTGCTCAGTGTACCTACTTTATTCAACAATAATGCGTCATCAACTTACTTCGCCTGTTGTTTGCATGCAACTAAATAAAATTTGTTGCTCTTCTACTCTTTCGGTTGACGTTCGGATTGTGTACGTGTAAGAAGCCGATTGTGTACATGTGAAAAGCCGAATATAGTTCGTTTCCCAGGAAAGTATTTGGCGGGCACTGTCCTAGACCCTAAAACTAATAGTAAACTGTTTTCGTTTATTTAAAATGTACTTCTATAGTTTATGGGGCAAAGGCTAAAATATTTCCCAAAAACTCGTTATTGGTAACATTATTGGCATATTTGTACATATACTAGCAGACCCGCTGTCGGCCGCGGTGGTGTAGTGGTAAGCAGTGCGCGTTTTCACTCATCAGCACCTGGGTTTAAACCCTGGTCAAAGCAACATCGCAAAAAATATAGAAAAAGGTTTTTTTCTTAACAGCGGTCGTCCGTCGGCAGCCAATGGCAAGCCTCCGAGTGTATTTCTGCCATGAAAAACTGCTTCTCAAAAAAATACAATCGCCGTTCGGAGTCGGCGTAAAACTGTAGGTCCCTCCGCTTTGTGTGACAACATCAAGGCGCACACCACAAATCGGAGGAGAAGCTCGGCCAAACACTAACATATGTGTAAGCGCCAATCTATTATTATTATTATTACTAGCAGACCCGGCGAACTTCGTGTCGCCCAAAATTAGATTTTTCATTTAACCATTTTGAGCCAACATTTTCTCCAACAGTCCACGTTTACGATGACTATTGGCACATTCATCGGCTAAGATTATGGTTTGGTGGTCGTTTACCGCCTTAAATAACCTAACGAAAGTGTTATGTTCATGAAGAAGTTCCCTGGCGGCACAATGATCCGGATCTATAGTGAATCTGCCCTAGAAACTTTATCTTATAGTTGGTGGCAATTTCAAAATAGATGCGTATCCTTGTTCAACAGAAATACAATATACATACATAGACTGAGATGAGATATGTACCTTAAAAGCCAATTTCACGAAAGCAATTTAAGTGAACAATTATTTTTTTTTCTGTAAAGGTTCTATATTAAATTCAATTAATAAAATAAATTTTCATCAAATTGCTTTTATGAAACTGGCTTATAAGGTATTTCGACAGGTGTTGATTTGAGATGTGTCCGAGTGAAGCTTTAACGCATAATAATATTGGCAAATCACATCCATTGGGCCAATCGTAACACAAGAGAGTTCGATATACTCAATGGTGTAACAGGTCGATTTAGTCTGACATTCACGGCACCTTTTCTCACTTGTCGATTTTTAGTAATAACTCGNGGTGTAACAGGTCGATTTAGTCTGACATTCACGACACCTTTTCTCACTTGTCGCTTTTTTAGTACTTAATAACTCGACCTCAGCATCACCTCACAGCTCTTTTTTTTGCAATTGGACTGCCTTTACCGTTTCCAATACATGTTTTGAATATTCGTCAAATCGGATCATAAAAAAAGATTTTTAGTAATAACTCAACTCCAGCCCCAACTGCCGGGTAAAATTGTGAAACTAAATTATCCAGAGACCCACTCAAACACACACACACAACTTTGTTGAAATCCCTCCAGCCATTTAGGATTTCACTCACAAACATACCTAGAGAAGAATTATATACACATTCAAAGATAAGGAAAAGTCAGTACGTTTGTACAGTGAAACCCGCTTAAGTACACCCCCGCTTTAGTACCTAAGCGGGCTTAAGTAACCAATATTTTTGTGCACCGTGAATTTTTTAATATAATCTGAAGAAAATCCCTCTCTTAAGTACCTCCATGCTTATTTGCCCAACCCGCCTAAGTACCTAAATTTTACGTACCCCATTTACCATTTTACTTATAATTTTCCCCTTTTAAGTGCTCTTTTAAGATTCCTCAAAATATTTACATATTCTGAAATTCAGTGGCAACGCTACACAACTTCGGCAAAAAAATTAACGGTAATTTTTAGCCAGTTGAAACTTGCACATTATTACACTAAAATTGAATGGGCAATAAAAATGAGGAAAAGTTTGAAATTTTGATGATTTTTTAGTATTCTACAAATTCTTAAACTTAGGTTTATATGGTATTTATTAAGGAATGAACTGTATTTTAATTGAAAAATCTGAAAAATTAATAAATAAACATAGCTGGCAAACAAAATTTTTCTGAATTTGGTCCAAAATGATATGTCCGACACTGTTTGTATGTAAGTATAATTATGTATATATAAAATGACTTTTTAAAGAATATAATTCTTATAACAATTACATACCGTTGCTTTATTTATTTTTTTAATACATTTTTTTTATTTGTTTATCCATTTAAATAATGCTACGAACTTGGTTTTAAACCACGTATACTTCATTAAATATTCATGTTTCCATCAATGATTTACATATTTATGCAAGTTAACAAGAAGATGTAACTACATCAATAATTATGTTCGCTTAGGTACCCGCATCGAGGTACTAAAGCGGGTTCTTTTAAGTACCCAACCCGCCTAAGTACCTCAAAAAGCTGACATTTTGCGTGAGGTACTTAAGCGGGTTTTACTGTACTTTGCCCTGCCCTCTTTTCAAAGAGCCCATTTTTCTCCATGGGTATGGGATTGATTTCATATATCTCCATACCAAGTTCCAGTACTCTCCCGTGAACATTTCCAGAGATATACAGTATGAAAAATTCGGTTTGTATATGAGGTGCCACGCCCCTTTTCCACTCATTCCAATTTTTCCCCATGAGTATGTGATTGATTTTATATATTTCCGTACCAAGTTCAAAAATTTCTCCAATTTTTCTCAAGAGTATGCGATTGATTTCATATACTTAGTATCTCCATACCAAGTTCCAGTACTCTAGCATGAACACTTCCAGAGATACTTATTATGAAAAATTCGGTTTATGTGGGACGCTCCCTTTTCAATTAGTCTGAATTTTTCTTCAGGAGTATGCGAATTATATCATATATCTCCCTACTCAGTTCCAGTGCTGTACCATGAACACTTCCAGAGATACTTATTATGAAAAATTCGGTTTATGTGGGACGCTCCCTTTTCAATTAGTCTGAATTTTTCTTCAGGAGTATGCGAATTATATCATATATCTCCCTACTCAGTTCCAGTGCTGTACCATGAACACTTCCAGAGAAATGCAGTATGAAAAATTCGTATTGTATGGGAGGGCCCACGCGCTTTCACAATAGCTCAAATTTTTCTCAAGAGTATGCGATTGATTTCATTTACATAGTACCTCCATACCAAGTTTCAGTAATCTATCATGACCATTTCCAGAGGTATAATAATAATAGATTGGCGCTTACACACATATGTTAGTGTTTGGCCGAGCTTCTCCTCCGACTTGTGGCGTGCGCCTTGATGTTGTTACACTTTGCGGAGGGACCTACAGTTTTACGCCGACTCCGAACGGCGATTGTATTTTTATGAGAAGCTGTTTTTCATGACAGAAATACACTCGGAGGTTTGCCATTGCCTGCCGAGGGACGACCGCTGTTAAGGAAAAGCCTTTTTTCTATATTTTTTTGCGATGTTGCTTTGACCAGGCTTTGAACCCAGGCGTTGCGGAGTGGAAGCGCGCACTGCTTTCACTACACCACATCGCCCAGAGATATACAGTGTGAAAAATTCGGTTGTATGTGAGGTGTCACGCCCCTTTTCCAATAACTCCAATTTTTCTCCAAGAATATGTGATTGATTTCATATTGTAATGTTTGGTTATAATTTTCTAATGGTTTGAGTATTATACTAAGCCCTCCGGCTGCTTTTCTCAAGCGTATAACCCCTCTGTTTCAGACACGTCAATTTGGAATTGAGTGAAAGAATGTTTATTTCTCGGCTCATCGCCGATATATATACTACAACATGCTTACAATCTATTACAATAGTTTAGTTATAAAATATCTTATTTACTATGAGTAACCAATCACATTGCTTGGTTACTCCCTAAGCTATTTCCCCTCATTTACATTCATTCTT